AACAGAAAAATGGAGGTTAGGTAGTGGGGATGATGCAAAATTGTGAGTGTCCTAAAAAAGCACTGAATTGTACACTTAAAATTTTTTTTAACGTTTTTATTTATTTTTGAGAGACAGGGAGAGACAGAGTACAAGTGGGGTAGGGGCAGAGAGAGGGAGAGACACAATCTGAAGCAGGCTCCAGGCTCTGAGCTGTCAGCACAGAGCCCGAGGCGGGGCTCGAACTCACAAACCACAAGACGCTTCAGACCAGTCAGACGCTTACCCGATTGAGCCACCCAGTCGCCTCTGAATTATACACTTTAAAACGGTGAATTTAATGGTATGAGACATATGTCAATAAAAGTGTTATTTTTAAAAAAGGAACAGGACACTGCAAATTAAAAGGGTGAATTGGAAGATGGCTTGATTTTAACAAAGTGAGGTGAACCAGAATTGAGTATGACTGGCACCTGAGGGAGATTCTAAGGGTGTTACTGAGAAAGGGCAGCAGGGATATTCTGGAGTGTGGTTAGGACTGTGAGAAAGAGACCCAAGCTGTGAGAGCCAGATTTGAGGAAAGCAGGAGAGAACAGACCCAGAGGGGAATAATAAGTGAAGAGAAAAGCCAGCTGGGGAGATAAAATGGACAGAGATAAAGCAGAGAATACTTGAGGAGGCATTTGTTGGTCGCGTGGCTCTAATGCAGGAGACCCTAAGAGCTAGCCCTGCTGTGCCGTCCCGGGTGCCCTATGCCAAGTGCTAAAAAAAACCTAGAGGCAGCCTTGTGGGGGGTGGGCTAACCCAAACTTTATGCTTTAGCAAAGTATATTGGAATTTTCAGAATGTTTTCTTCCTACAAATTCCATGGAGGAAAAAAATCATTTAGAATGTCTCCCTTGAAAATTGCTGTGAAATTAATAGCCATCTATCCCTTTTCATTTTCCTGTCTGCTGTGTTTCTCTTGCTAATGTTTCTCCCTTGTCCCAAGTTCTTACCCATCCTGGCCTAGCCTAGCTCAGCTCTGCCTCTCCCCTCATCCATAGATGTCTGGAAAGGTTTCTGCAGCCTCCTAAATTCAGCTATTCAACTCCTTCATAAGTATTTCTTAAATGAGTACTTGGTGACAAAAATCATGATAGATTCTTGGATTCCTGCCTCCATGGGCTTCCAGTCCAGTGAGCACCCTCATGCTTTAGCCTTTTCCACCGCTCTTTCCCCCCAGATCTCTCCCTGCCAGTCCCTCTTATTCTTCCCTCCCCACTGACGCCCCCTAAAGTCTGCACTGGAGACGGGAGAGTGAAGTCAGTTCAGCAAATACTGTGTAAACCATCTCCTGAAGAGAATGCTTCACTCCTGGGGAGCAGTGGCACACAGTGGTTGAACTGAAGGCTCAAGTCACACTGCTTGGGTTCACATCCTGTATGACGTGCTAGATGGAGGACTGGGGGGACAGGTTACTGAACCTGAGCCTTTTTCATCATTTATAATACTGGGTGACAGTAGTGCCTACTTCATAAGAGTAACTGAATGAATATATGTAAAATGCCAGCAGATGCCCAGAATATTAAGTTTTGTGTAAATGTTGGCTCTTAGTTGGTGTCAGTATAAAACAATTAGTTTGGCTACTGATTTTTAAAAAATTTTTTGATTAGACTCCAGGCGAAGGCTACCAAGAAACCCTACGAAGCTAAGAATGACTTTGACAAGTTCCTACATAAACTGGTATGTTTCCTTTTTGAAAATAGTTGAGAATTCTCTCTCTACCTTGTCTTAATTGGACTGGACAATATTCAATAGCACTGCATGGTTTCACATCCAAGTTACAGTGAGTGACAAGGTAGAATACGCTATTTTAATCATCTGCATGCACATTTAAGATCATCTCTGTTTTACATATTAGTGACAACCTCATGCCCACTTATCCTCATCCCTTGCTTCTGACCATGGACAGTTCATGCAACTGAAGACCTCCAAATGCAGTCAAAATTTCAAATAGAAACTTTATCAGTGTTTGCAGTCATATTTTATTTCCCATTAATAATTCAACAATAATACATTGGATTCCAATGAATGCGTTAGATGAATGGTCCCTGCCCTCAACATAAGACAGAAATTATAAGGTTCTAAACAGGACTCAAGTGTGAGAAAGAAAGAAAATAAAGGAGCCTGCTCTGTCTTTCCAGTTTTCTTTGTCCCCCCCCCCCCTTTGGCTCCTCCTTAAATTATGGGCACTTCTGTTAAATCTGAAGGTTCCTCTTCCCTTCCAGCAGGCAAGGACATGTAGAGAAAGGGGTGCAATAAATCTGAAGGTTGAGCCAGCTGAGGTCAGGAATAGGAGAGAGCTTTTTATTTTTAGCATGTCTTCGAGAACAGTCCTCACTGGCCACTAGTGTAACGTCAAAAACAGAGAGTAGATCATCTAATGAAATTTCTATATGAGCCAGAAAGGTGAGAGAAGGGAGTAGAACACCTGCATGTTTAATATTAAACAAATAGGACTATTCTTTACTTCCAAAAAAAATTCTTTCTCCCATTTTTCTTGGTCTCCCCTAACTACTACGGCTAGAGACATGGGTACAGAGAATTATTTAGTGTAAGAAAGCCACTGTGCCAGTGTGCTGGTGAAGGGCAGGTGACCTCGGCTGGTAAATGGTACATGGGCCGAGTATCAGGGAAACTACAAGTTTTGGAAACTGTAGCACACTGAAGAGTCCAACATCATCTAAACAAAGCAGCTATACCTCAGCTTAAGTTCACTGTCCACCCCCCATCCCCAGGAATGGAGGGCAGGGGATAATCAGATCTTTCACCATCCATAATCCAGATTCTCCTATAAAATTTCTGATGAGAACCCCAAGTTTTTAAATACTTGGGGGCCAAACTAAATGTATCTGCAAACCAGATGTGGCCTGTGGGCTACTGGTTGGCAACCCCTCATCTAAATGCTAGACTTAGAGCTCTTCAAAAGCTACCTCCAGCCAGCGTAACCTATCTTATCCTCCACTGTATCCCAGGGCAAACAAACTGAGGTGTCCAGACACACCATGTTTATTTGCCCATACTCATACATTCACTCATCTGCAGTGCCTGCTCCCCAGCTTTCATATTCGACTCATTCTTTAGGGCCCTGCTCAAATTCCATCTTCTTCATAAAGCTTTTTTCCAGTTGCCCTAGCCCCATCCTCTCCAGAAAAGGTTGAAATCTCTCATAATTTCTAGAATGACACTTGGTGATGGTTTGATTGAAAACTAGTTCTTTTCTTCAAGCCAGACACCAAGACAAGAATAGATCCCTGGCTTAGAACAACTGTGTCTTCCAAAGCAGAGGGCACAATGGAAGTTTTTAATCATGTACTGCAAGAAGGAACCTCATGATGAAAAGTTTAAATAGAATAGCAAAGCAACGGAAAGTACCACTTTTTTTTTTTTTATAGTAATCCAGGTATCTTTAAGTCATTATGTACCAACCACAGATCTTCTGTGGAAAATGGAATAGTATTAAAAAACAAAGAATTCTAATTTTAAATCATTTCAGATTTTGGATTATTGGGTGTTTAAAAACTCAAAATTCATTCAACATATTTGACTTAAGCTTTCTCAAGCGTTTACCTTTCTTTCAAGATGAAAATGCACCTGCAGTTTATTTTAGAATAGAATGGATTTCCGAGTCATTTAAATAGGACTGTTGTCCTTTGAGAAATATTAAAACTAGCTTTGCCTCAGACTCTCCAAAACTGAGATTCAAGATGATGTCTAGTGTTTAAGATGCACATTAATGAGCAAAACAGTCATCAAATAATACGAAAGTGTGATAATTTTCTGGATAATTTATGCCATAAGACTGTTGCTGTCTCAATTATCTGGTTATAGCAGCAAATTACTTTCTGGGTTAAATCTTCATATAATTCAGGAAGACCTTCTTGTGAGAAAGCCATTCACTTACCATCACCACATGGCTAAACATTTCTGCCCACTTTTGATGAACACATAAGGACTCACCAACACCCCTACTCAACCCCAGAACCCACTCTTACCCACATACCTGCATAACTGTCCTACACTGTTCCACACATACAAATGAGACCTGCTAGACACACCCCAAAGGGTTGTGAGGCATGGATGGGGTTTCCCAGAGCAAGTAAGCGTGCCCTGTGGATCAGAGAGGCATTTGAGAAGAGGTAGCATAAAGTGGGAAGAAAGTAAATTCTATGAACAAATTGAATTATCTGAATTATCATCCAGATAACTACTTTAGTGTGAATAGAGGTAAGGTGTAGAGTGTCTTTTATGTAAGTTTCTCTATTTTAAGTGACAGAGACAGCTGAGGGCTGAAAGAATTGAAAGTGATTGTTTATGTGATATCACATAGCTTTTAAAAAGTAAATGAGCCTAAATCCATCTTGGCCAAAAAAAAAAAAAAAAAAAGGTAATTCTTCTCGTCTTGATAATTAGTGAGTGTAGTAACCTCACATTCAAGTATCCGGGAAAATTTGTGAGTCTTTCATTATGATTATTTTAATAGCGTTCTGAAGCTCGAACTGAGAGAGAGTTTCTGGCATCACTCTCATCATCAACATCATCAACAGAAGACTACAACTGTGAAGAAGAAGAGTGTCAAGAGAAACCAGAAATGGACTGTATTTAAGAATATACAATTCAATTGTATCCCTTTAATTGTAGCAGCATGTTTAACTCAAGTCTAATCCATGAGGTCAGTATAAATGTCTTTTACCAATTCATCTTTAAAAATCTTGAAATCAATAAATGTCAGTAAATCATCCTTGAAAGATCTGCCCAAGCATAATTTTGGCTCTTATTGGTAGAAAACATAGTTTAAGATGGAAAAATAATCATTATGAAGCATAGAGAGCTTTCAACCGTTTCTTTGGAAATACATCTTGATAATAGCAACCGTTCATCATAATACAAAACAGAAAGAGGATTAATTTACTGTGGCATAAGAAGTTCTGCCAGTTCCTAAATGCCCTAAATAGTTTCTCTGAGATTTTTTACATTGTTTAGGCCTCAAGGAAAACCAAAGCCCCACCCCCAGGTTTGGTAGCAAACAAACTCTGCTTCTCGAATGTTAAGTTTCGGTCGCTCCTCTGGTAATAAGCTTCGTGCACCTTTGCTAGGAAGCTGGACAGCTTGTCAGCAGGTACAATTGATACTGTACAGCCTCCCCATCCTGCTCCAGTGAGTCGTGACCCTTGAGCCCCAAACTTCCTAAAACAATGAGAAAAAAAAAATTAGAACCTGTAAAAGAAAGTAAGAGTGGTTTGCCTGGTGCTTCTAGAACACACAGCCTGAGGAGAGAATATGTGTGGGGTTTTTTTGGGGATCAAGGGGTAGTTAAGTGTTGCCAAACATTTTAGGACATGAAGGAATGTACACTGTTTCAGAAGGTGATTTGAAATTTAATTTTATCTAAAACTAGCCCATGGTTTTTTTCTCTAGGTAGTAAAAGTTAGCATTACTCCTGTTTAGTGAAAGCTGGCAATAATCCACTATAAAGTCTTGATTCTATAAAGTCACCAATTGAAGAGTTGTATGTGGCAAGCTTACAGGTGATGAAGAGGAGGGAGTAAAAGGAAAAGAGACAGCAGACATGATCAACTATGAATCAGAAGGTGGCTCCAAATGAAGTCAAATCAAAATGTAAATTGCAAGTCTTATACAAGTGAGGGCTTTCTCTAGTAGTCATTTAAGGTGTGTTTGTAAGACTTGGCTGTTCCCCATAAAAGTATCAGTCCCCTAGAACAGACAGCCTGGGTTTGCGTTGAATAAATTTATCGAGAAGGAACATGTTATTAAACTCTAGACCAGTCTATTTAAAACCTAATGGGAAGCTATACAGACGTTTCCACAAAAATGGAAGGTGGCCTCTACAAGTCCAAACGCATCTTCCTTGAACCTTTGGGAACTACTCTGACAGCTGAACTCAGAATTTACCATCAGCCAAAATGTGTGACCCGGATGGAAACCACTATTTAAACCACCACACAAAAAGAGGTCATTTTAGTCACCATCACCCAGGCCAGCTTCCAACCAAAGATTTATACCCAAGTGAAAGGCCCTACACAAAGCACAAGAGTCCCTCATTTTTTAAAGATGTAATTTATCCTGATAATAAAGGTTAACATGTACTTCCAATTCTTCCTAATAAAATTTGCTCCAAATTCATAGCAGATTAAAAACTCCATAATTAATTTAGCACAATTTTGTCTCTCTTTTTCCATCTAAATGAGCTACTTTACTTCCTGGAAAATATCAATAGAATATTAACCCTCCTCTAGGACATCGGATTTATTGCACACCAGTAATTCATTTTCCCCTCAATGATTTTCTCAATTGATTCCTTTTTTTTTTTTCAACGTTTTTTTTTTTTTTTTTTTATTTTTGGGACAGAGAGAGACAGACATGAACGGGAGGGCAGAGAGAGGGGAGAAGAATCGAACAGCTCAGGTTCGTACAGCCCACCACGTACCGAACGTCATGGCACCATGTGAATCGACGGACCTGGCTGAAGTCGGACGCTTAACCAACCGACTGTGCCACCCAGGCGCCCCTCAATTGGTTCCTTTTTATTATCTGTTGTATTCATTAAAATATGTTTTTCAAATGAAAATAGATGTGTACGGAAGAAAACAAAATGCTTTCAAATAAAGATTACTCATCTCCTGCTGTCCCCCAGACATTCAGCTTACAGCCCAGCAGCTGCACAGAGCCCAGACTCCTATCATCCAGGCTGAAAGTTTCTCTGACTGGGAGATTCTAGGATAATTCTGAGTTCCCAGACTGGCAAAGGGCCATTTTTCAATCACAAAGAAAAAAAGAAAGTTGTGATACGCAGTGACATCAAACTATTGCTACCCATGGAAGATGCTGAAAAAACCGAGGTGTCACCGAAGCATTTCTGGAAGACCCTAAAATTGGGACACAGAAGCCAACCGTGGCCTGGTCTAGAGAACAACAGGGTGCCTCTTACATGATTCTCTAAGATCCAGACTATGCCACTGTGCTGGACTTAAATCAACCAGGTCTTTTATGGTCTTCAATGGACTTCAGACATGTTTTCTTACATCTTTTCATCTGAAAAGTTTTTGAAAGCTGTTGTTTCAAAACTGAATCTAAAGCAAACTGAGTATTGTTTCTAACTGGTTACAAAACCAATAGGAATTGTGCCAAAGGGTGTATTTTCCTCAGTATCCTGCCACTTTCCAGAAAGCAGAAACTAGAAGTATTTCTAGGCAAATATATTCACTTTTGAGTCCCCAGAGCTGCTCTGGCACCACCCTGCCTGCTGCAGATGAAAATGGACTGGGTTGCATCAGCCACATGATATGAAGTCATCAGGGCTCAAATTCCCAAACAGAAAATGATAAATGCTATTATTATAAATAGCCTTCTGCCCTTGAGTCAATGGCACTTGTGATCACAAATCAGGGGGCCGCCCGAGTACCTGGTCTGCAGCCTGCCCAGCTATATATACTCACAGAGGCAGAGGTCCTGTCTGCAGTGTTCTAAACTGGTGCTTAATATGCCCTTTGGCATATGCCATAGAAATTCAGGGAAAAATCCAAAAGTTAGGAGACCAATATAAACTTTATATTAGGAAAGAAAAAGAAGGCAAGCCTTGTTCTTCCTAAGAGAACACTAAGACATTAAAAATATAGATTCTGAGCTATTGCACATCAGAGAGCAATACAAGAGTTATGAACACCAAAACCCTAGAATCCCCCAAATACCACTTCTTTGTGGTGACCAGATTGGGAAATAATGTGGAAGGGTTGGTCAAAACAACCAAAGCAGCCTTTGCCTTTATTAGTATGATCTACGAAACAAAGGCGAGAGGAGTTAGGCAGATTATAGAATGCTCCCTTTGATCCTTTTATCACTGAAAAGTAATCATATAACTAACTTTCCAGGCATCCAATATAGCCTGGCTAAAATCTCCTACTTTAAATGAGCTGATTGGACCATAAAGCACTTACTAAGATACAAGGCACAGAAAAAAGCAGGGCGTGGTGGGGGTGGGGGTGGGGAGAGGGTGGAGGGAGATCCAGTAAACATAGCCTTGCTACAAAGAAGGAAAGAAGGGATTGTGCCTCGTATTTCAATTCAATTTTATTTATTTCAAAATACTTGTATATTATACAAATGGGTATTAAATTAATTCAGAATATTTTGAATTAAGGGAGAGGTTATATCTCTCCAGGCCCAGCCCAGCACAATTCTAGATATTTGGTAGGTTGTAATAAATAGCTGTTGGGATTATTACACTTGTTTTAAAATGTCAAAATATATACCCAGTCTGTTTATTTTTTTATTAAATCAATGTTAGAAAACTTCAATTATGTGAAACAGAGTACAATAATGAAGAGATAATGTCCACCCAATTATAAAATATCATTTTGAATGAACAAAATGCATTTTTTAAGAGATGGCTAAATTTTATTTATTTTTATTTTTAAAGTTTATCTATTTATTTTTGAGAGAGAGAGCACAAGCAGGGAAGGGGCAGAGACAGAGGGAGACACAGAATCCGAAGCAGGCTTCAGGCTCCAAGCTGTCAGCACAGAACCCAACATGGGGCTTGAACTCACTAACTATGAGATCATGACCTGAGCCAAAGTTGGACGCTTAACTGACTGAGCTACGCAGGTGCCCCTCGAAATGGCTAAATTTTAAAAAAGAATTTCTTGAAGTACGTAAAACAACTTTTAATTATATGTGAGACAGCTCACATATATATATTATATATAAATATAACCTGTTGGTAATATATCTTATATCTGGAAAGCCTTCTAGCTTCTGCTCTAAAGCCTAGAATCTTCCAGCTAGAATCTCAGGAAAACAGAACTTCCAGAAGAATTTCTATGACTTTTGCAGCCAAGTTAGAAACACTCAGATTGCTTTAGATTCAAGAAACCACAGACTTCAAATACTGTTCAAATGAGAAAGTATAAGAAAATGTAACTACAAGTCTGTTTGAGAAACGTAAGCTACTAAAGGCCCTGAAAGATGAGCTGGTTTCTGCAAAGGGCATATATATATATATATATATATATATATATATATGAACAGGGTTAGGGGGGTGGAGAGGACAGTAAGCGGAAGACAGGGGCCCAAAGAGAAGTGAGCCCCTAAGCGCAGTGGAAAGGGCCTTGTCCCTTTATTTGGTAGAGTGTAAAGATTAGCCTCAAGATCATGGGGAAGGAAACATACAAACAGGAGTTTACACTTCATTCTCCCCTGACCTGCTCAGGAGAATGGGTGCAAAAGGCTGAGCAGCATAGCCATGGAGTAAAGTTTGAAAAGATTTCTGAGGAAGACAGCAAATTAACTTTTGTAATCTTTGTTAGCCTATTAACATTTGTCATTCATTTCCCTTAATAGCTTTGGCAATGATGCAGCAATGAGGTCTCTAATTTCAGCAAGTGTCAAAACAGAAATAAAAGACATTAACTATTTTTTCTTAAATATAACCAGGAAAATTGATAACAAATGAGCTATCTCATATATAACTGACTTGGTTTGAAAATTGCTTTGTGTTTCTCAACGAATCCTACTTTAAAATTTAGCTGTTTCTTAAAATTTACATTTTGTTCATTTAGAAGAATTATTTTATAATTGGGCAAGTTTCATCTTATTCTCTCACTATTATACTTTGTTTCACATAATTGAGGTTTTCTAACATTAGTTTAATAAAAATAATAAACAGCTTAACAGCATAAATGTAGTTTCCTTCTCCCTCCCTGGCCCTTTCTTTGAATGCTAAACTGATTTTCTCTTAAAGAGCAGTGAAAAGCTCAATTGACAAACAGAGCAAGTGTCAGTGATCTTTTCTTTCTTTTCCCCCTCTTTTCTCTGCTTGGGTCATATAGCAGCTTCTTACACATTTTCCTATAGGCTAGCTACCTAGAGATGCCTTTTGAATATAGTCTAGCTCAGATCACAATAAGATTTCAGTTTGTATGACAGGTGTTTGAGGGGATGCAGAGAAAGGGGAACCCTCTTGCACTGTTGGTGGGAATGCAAAGTGGTGTAGCCACTCTGGAAAACAGTATGGAGGTTCCTCAAAAGTTAAAAATAAAACTACCCTACGATCCAGCAATCTACTAGGTATTTACCTACAAAATGCAAAAACACTAATTCAAAGTTATACATGCATTATCTATAATAGCCAAGTTCTGAAAGCAGTCCAAGTGTCCATCCATTGATGA